AAAAAAAAAAAAAAAAAAAAGCAAGAAAGAGGAAGTCGAGAGGTGTATAAATCGTCTACGACTGTCGTTCGAGTTTCATTTAAAAGTTATTTTATCCACAAACAAATTGCACCTCTTTAAAAAAAATCAGCGATCCTCGAGATTATTTTTGCTACGCAAAAATATCCCGACATTTCATACATTGCTTATACAAATCGCTTTTGCATTTTTTTTTCTTTATCTCACACACACACACACACACACACACACACGCGCGCGCGCGTACTTACATATTATACACTTGCGCGTATTAATCATCGTAAGTGAAACAACATAAAAGTCCATACTAAATGAGTAGAAATATTTAGATCACGCACATACGGTACACGCTGTGGCTTGCTAGGCCAAAATCGATATAACCACACGCAGCCTCGCGGAAACAGAATTTGACGGAATTAAATTTCAACTTTGCGAGTTCTTTTATATGCTAAAATAATGCAACACCAATAGACGAAGCCAAATATCTCGTGCTGCCAAGATTCGTCAAATTTTCTATCAGTGTATTTTATACAATTACATACGCATTTACTTAAACTTATAACAAATCCATATCTCACAGATATACTCGTCTAATATTATATTATTTGCGCTTATTATAACATATATCGATATAGACTTCACTCTTTACGAATCAATCTATACACACGATCAATGATTTTTTTTTTTTTTTTTTTTTTTTTTTAAATACAACAATTTGAACGTTTGTTCGAATTATCCTTTAAAGGGCGAATATTCGAAGAATCATAGAAACAACTGATAGAATTATTGTCACTTCTCATTGCGTCAGATTGATTGACTTTCAATGATCGATCGTATAGACGGAGATCGTAAAAGGTGGGAAATTGTCGAATGTCACAACCAGGCGTGATACTTCAAGTCAAAGATACATTTTGCACACGCGATATTTATATTTTATTCATTTTCATCTGGTAACAATAGTTCGAGAGAAAAAAAAAAAGAGTAAAAAAGAAACAAGGCAGTGATAGTGGTAGAAAAAAAAAAAAAAAATAGCAGAGGATTGTTAATATGTAACTCTTTCTCTTGTGTTTTGCTTCGTGCGCGAAGAGAAAAGGTAATGATAACGCTAAGAACTGTACAATATGTATTTTATACATTCCGTTTCAGGCCGTCGTATGTGCTCATGTGTTACAAGTATTATAAATTCGTATCTATCACGCGTTTGCTATATACAAATCGATACATGCCGCCGCATTCTTTGAAATTCACCGGGATTCGCCTTTCGCCCGGGGCTTTCGAACGGTTCATAAGAGGGAACAATAGAACAATAAATCGTTGATCGAATGGAAATGCTAAACTTCTTCCAACGATACGATCGAATGAAATCTGTTGACAGTAAATTTATACATCTGGCCATAGTCAATTTGTGCATATGTCTCACTTTTTAGGTGAAAATGCATTCACAAAGAAGTGAA